GAAACATAAATGTAAGATGACAAAAGATCTGCGAAATAAATGTTGACAGCGATGCGTAGGGAAAGCTAAAGGGATGGAAAAGGCAGTGGTGATGGGCAACAATAGACAGCTATTTAGAATTTCTAAAGAAATTGGGGAAAAAAGCCAACGGTTAGACGATGGCAGAGAAAGATGAGTATGTGACTGACTCGCAGGAAAAAAGTCTGGAACGATAGGCGGAACACTTCAACTGAACTCCAGCTACTAATCCGTTGCCTGTTATCCAGTCCGATCCCGAATGGAATATCAAGATAGGACCCCCAAAGCCGACAGAAGTCGGAGAATCTGTAGGCAGTCTGAAACTAGGAAGAGAAGCAGAGTCAGACAGACTATTACCAGAAGTATTTATCAAGTATGGTGGTCAAAGTTTATTGGTCAAACTAACTTAACGGTTAAATAGTGTATGGGAGTCAAGTATGATCTCCTCTGACTGATTGTCCTGGCCTTCAAGAAAGACGAGGATCTCTCCTACGACAACCATAGAGGAATCCGTCTGACGGACGTAGTGTCTAAAATTCTAGAAACTGGGGGTCAGGAACAACCAACCAGAGGAAACCAGGCGGCTATGACGAATCAGTGTTAGCTAACAGACCGCCTAGTTATCTTAAAATGTCAAAAGAACTTCTCGGTCAGAATCTGCCAGGGTTTTGTAAGGAATATGGTACTTATTAGTGTGAGAGTAGAATTCTACATTAAATAATTTTATTTGATATCGCAAACAGTAGTATTTGCTAGGTGACTTTTCGAGGAAATTTTATTAGTCATATCAAGGTAATCACAATACTTCCAACACTTGGTTTTTGTAGCTCCTTTCAATTGCCTTTTTTTGTTCCAATGATAATAAGATATTTCATATATCCGGAACGAGTCCTGCATCATTTCCACTGCATATAATTGAAATGTCTTAGCTTGAATATCCGGGTAATATCATTCAATTTTTGACAAGCAAAGGTGAAAGTAACAACTTTTTGGGATAAATATTCACTTGTTTGATTGGTGCTCCTACCACCGCAATACGCTATTCAACTTTTGTTTTTCCTTTGACGTAGGAGAGCATGTAATATTAGAAATCTAGTTTATCGGGACTGGTGCGAGTCTGTGCTATGGGTGAATATGAGGAGTCTTTAGGTACAGTAAACTCTGAACTCCCAACTATATGATAGTGTACTAGCTTTTCAACATCTGTTGTTTTTAGCAAATATAGTCGTCCACTTTTATAAATAATGCCACCAGCAGCCTGGCACACGAAAGTGCCTGTTCTACTAAACCGTACGGTCCGTGAAATTGGTTGACTTTCTTAAACCTTTCATTGGGCAGTTCGCTATATTCTGTCGATCACTATGACCTAGATGTACTTCCTTTTTACTACGTTTAGACATTTCACTAACCTCCACTAATATCTTCCTAATCTTCATTTATTCATTCCCACTCTACTTGTGTTCACTTTCTCTTGTGTTGTTGAGATGTGTAACAGCTTGGAATGATGCACATCTATGCGAGAATGTAGACTAATTGACATCTGTCCTTGCATAGGCATCAGATAGACTTGTGTACTGATTTCTAAGGCTTGCAAAATACCTTTAGCTAAGACCTTTTAATACTTGAGTCCACACTTATAGAACTGTAGTGACTAAGATGAAACTGTGCCACCTACTGAGATATCCATTGACCATCTTCTATCCGCAGATATCCGTTTGCTGTAGGAAATAACTATTAAATATCAAATTTTATTACCAAGTTACTGATCTTGATCAAATGTACCTAAGGTACTTGTGTGGAAGTTATGAATACGAAAAAGTTGGACTGGTTTGTATCTTCAGGTTAACCACAACTCTAATAATGAGTACTGCTGGCTACTAATGTGTATGGTGAGTGTTAATACCTAATGCAACGCTAACCTTGGACTATCGTGTAGATGTCTTCAAACTGATCAGCATCCAATTCTCTGTATTTTTGTGACTAATTCTCCCCCCTTTTTAGGAATCTGTCGATATTCAGTTCATACTGTAGCCTTTCATGTCATATATTCAACTGAGCGCTATGCTGCGTGCGGATGCTTCTCGGGCCCAAAGACATTAGTATTCTCCGCTCTCACTTTACAGTCATTTCATCAGAAGACAGTGAAACACTGGTCTTAGCACTGCCTACTTTCTAAACTTTAATTCATATGCCATCTGGACTGTAACTTTAAAAGGTTCATTTTAGGGAAACTGTACTTGCTGTTAGTTTTGCCAAACAGTGGGTTTTATAGACATTTATATAGTTTAAGGTAAACTTTCAAGAAGTTTACAGGTAATTCCCTAAAATCACATTTTTATACATCGATTATTGTAATTGATTGTCAACTTAACACAAGGGTTCAAAAGTTTATTCCAGTATAATATGATAATTTGCCTGAAATAATATTTTGTTTTTCTAGCTTTCTATCTGACATGCTAGCTGGTTCACGCAACATCTCCCTCACCTTGGAAACGAAGAAATCAGACAGGTAGCAAAGATGACTGGTCGACGTTCAGTAGGGCTTCTAAACTTTGGACACATCTGATGAATGCACAATTTCTTTTCAACAATGAACTCTACCGGCAATCTGATGGTGTTGCCATGGTGTCACCCTTGACCCGCTCTTAGCAGATTTTTTTCACGCAAAACTTGAGAATAGTCCACTGAACGATACTATTAGCCGTTTAGAGTTAAATCGTCGTTACATGAATGATGCCTTTATAGTTCTCAAAAGTGAGACTGATAAGAATGCTTTTCTGAATAAGTTCAATAGTGTTCACCCGGCAATCAACTTCACAATGGAAAAGGAGAAAAACAATAGTATCCCATTTCCTGATGTTCTGTTGGTAAGAAGGTCAGATGGAACCCTGAAGCGAAGTGTTTATAGAAGGTCAATATACGCACTTCTTTAGTGCTGTACCCCTCCAATACAAAAGGAACCTAGTGAAATGCTTAGCATACCGTGTATCAGCTATTTGCTTAGAGGATGCTATAAAGGAAGAGTGCGCCACCATCCGTGATCTGCCTAGCAGGAATGGCTACCCAGACAAGTTTGTAACTAAGCACATGAATATTACGAGGGTTAAGAAAACAATGCCAACAGTTCCTAAGAAGCAAATCTTAAGGCTGCAATTTAAGTGATATTGCCAGTGAGATCATCACACAACGCATAAAAAACAGTCTTGCATAAAGCATTCCCAGGCACTAAATTATGTCCCGCCGTCTACAACCACCCGATTCTAGGTGCAAGAAATAAAGACAAACTGCCTGATTCTGCCACTTCTATGTGCATTTATCAATTCAACTGCTCCTGTGGAGCGAGTTACATTGGGCGTACAATGAAGCAGATCCATCGTTGAATTTCTGAGCACCACCCATCATGGTTGGACAAGGGAGAAATTAGAACTATAAAGAGCTCCATACTTGCACACTTGGTTGACACAGGACATCAAGTTACAGGTTACTGGAAAAGCCTTCAAAATCATCCATCAGATTCCAATTAATTTACCTCATGGATTACGCACTCGGTTACTTCACATAGCAGAGGCGATTGCAATCCACCTAGCCTTTGTATCCAGAAGAAGTTTTTTCGACCACTTTCATTACCGTGGCCGTCAACATGATGTAACTTCTAGGTTTACTTTGTGCACCTCTTCCCCTTCTTGTTTCTATCAATATTCATATTTCCTATTTCAGTAACTCTATTGATTGTTTAGATCATTATTTCCAAAACACCACCACATGATTGGTAATTTGATTAAATTGTAAACCTATATATTAGCGTAGAGCCCAAGATGAAGACCTAATTGAAAAGAAATATATTTCTTCGCTCAATCAGTCTTTTTCTAAACATCCGAAGTTGTTCATTTCTGATATACAGGACCATCTGATCAATTTGTTTCGTTCGAGGCAACTATGGAATCAGCAGTTACCCTTTTAGGTTTTCAGCTAAGACTCACTGAAAGCGACTGTTACTATCGTTAATTAGTAAGAGATAAAGACACTAACAGAGCAGCATCGGTTAGGATTCGGACCTTATAACCTAAAAGGAGGTTGCAGTAAGTCCAATGAGGTTACTTATGAGAATATCACTGTAGTCACTCTATAAGTGAGACACTAAGTTAAGACTATAGTAGACAGTTGACCTGATTTTCTAACTCATTGATGTTTCGCGGCATAATCAGTGAAAGGCTCACTTTCCGATACTGGAATAAGAACGTACTCGAAAAACGTACGTATTCTAAGATATGATTGTAGTCCCACGTTTTATGGAGTAAAAAGACTATAACCCTATAGTTAATTAGACTAAGGGATTCAAAAAGGTTCATTCAAAATATGGTGGAGTTGTGGTTCAATGGTTTGGACACTCAACTAACAACCAATGAGTCACGGGTTCGAGACCGGTTCCATTTACGAGGTTAGGGCAGCCAGGTAGTATCATTAACCCCCACACATACAATAAGTGTGGCTCATGTCTTGCTGCATGTGATTGCTGAGTGAATTTTGATCTTTTGCGATTCTTATCCAACTTCTTTAATCATATAAATTTGTCATCGACAATGAACTCAGTTTCCTTGTTGGACGGTGGTACTTTTCGTTAGTGTTGTTCGTGAATTAACCATCCAAACATCAAGTTATATTATGCCCAATTACTACTAAAAAAGCGTAAGTATGTATAATCTTTGATCATCAACTAATTCGATCAGTAAACACTCCTAGTTCATAAAAGTCGACTTTTTCTGGGACGGAAAATTCTCAACGAAAGGTGTGAACACTAATTCACGGTTAATAGTGCAAAACAATGCTAAAGCTGGCAAAAATTCGTCACCTTAGTTTCCCTATCAAACATACCTATTAAAATAAGAGACGATTGTTGACATGAGTATTTTTGTACGTCTGGTGGACTTTAACCAGATCAACCATAGAATCCTAAATCTTAACCAAAGTCAAATACAACTCACTTTGCAAGATATTTGGTATTAACCTGAATGCATCTTTGAAGAACAAATCAATATTTCAAGTAACGTCAGGCAAAAGTCAACTACTGAAAAACATTTCACCACAAAACACGGATTTCATACTTCATAAAATATATAATAGGGAAGTTATAGATCATTTATGCTTTCTTCATCAAATTAGTCGCTGGTTCACTGAATGCATAACATACATCCCCATACGGTGAATTCTTCTTTATGATATCAGCTACTTCATCACCCAGTTGATTACGTACTCCATAAACTGGTGCACCAGGTTGAGCCATTAGTAAATACAGTGTCTCTGGACCTTGGTTATTTGAGATAGCTAAATGTAGAGCAGTTTGCTTGCTGTTAGTTACTAAAATATAAAGGGAATAGAAAATAATGTTTTCGGAAGTTAGCATATTGAAATAGGCAGTGATTGAGTTCGGAAGATAAACCTCAGAAGTGAAAAGCTTTTTTGTTGAATGCTTTAGAGACTCGGTCATATTTGATATCTGCCATTAAGCAGTACACACGGATTAGAACTCCGTATAGCCGGCTGCAACACAACTTTATTTACTGCACAATTAGTTAAGTACGTTGCATGATGAAAGTTGATAATACTATCGAGGCATATGAAGCGGGGCGTGTTAGAGCCTATGGTGAGATATCCAGGGAGCTATGCTCATCGAGTGGTGTCCATCAAGGCTGCCTACTGTCTCCATTCTTATTCAATTTCATCATACATATTCTTATGGAGGTCTCCCTCTCATCACCTGACCACACAGAGGTTGACCTAGTCGCAGAATTTCCGTTAGGCCTAGAATAATCAAATGACATAGTCCTGTTAGGTGAAGACGTTGACAAGAAGCAGTCTTCTCAACACTTTGAGTGCCAATTTGAGAATGTTTGGGGTGCGTTTCTCACCGCACAAATGCAAACTGTTGCTCCACGATTGGTCTTCAACTGTTCCACGGCTAATAATAGTGTAGTGATTGAGCGTGTCGAACACTTCGCTTAACTGGGAAGTAGGATCAGCCCTAGTGGCCGATGAAATCTCTGCACAAATACAAAAGGCTTGGCTGGCTCTTGCCAATTCACGCCACCGTGACATCCGATTGTCTATTAAGAGTCGCGTGTACTGCACAGCAGTCCGCTCTGTTCTACTGTATGGCTGTGAAACATGGCCACTGAAGGTGGGAGATATGAGAAGGCTTCAAGTGTTTGACCACCGCTGACTTCATAGTATAGACCGTATTCTATGGTGTAACCACGTGAGCAACGCAGATGTCATGCTCAGTTGTAGTTTTAGGGAGAAGAGGTAGGTCAGTTGACAAGGTTGTGAACCTTTATCGACTGAGATGATTGGCTCCGACATGTGTTACGTATGCCTAGTCGCCGACAGCTTCGTGACACAATGTTGACCGAAGTGGATTCAGGTTGGAAAAAGGCCTGGAGGTGGCCAGACTAAAACGTGGCACCAATGTATGAAGTCTTTGACTGTGGGTTTGAGCCATGTGGGGCGATGCAGACTAGCCGGTTGAGGTCCACGGTACAAGAAGAATGAGGGGTTGGAGACTTTGGGTGATGTATGATGGCTGAGAACCGATGTATACACACATTATCCTCATCTTAACGACGCTATACCGAATCTTACCATTTTCTCATTCTTCCTTTCTTTCTTTGAGCACTTTATATTTCTTCTTTGGACTGAATTTTCTTATCTTCATCTTGCACCTCACTGCCTTTTTAACTTGATGTGGTGATATGACGTGTGGTAACTCGAACCGTTACGCAGTAATACCTGGTCCTATGTTGATATTGATTGGTGATGAAGTGGGGCACAAACCCGTGATCCAGTGGTTTATAATCGCATGCCTAATAAAATGCGCTACAGTTTTACATAGACAACAAAAACACCAGGATGAACATATTCAAAAAGGTATGGATAAGCGTAAACAAAGTCTGTGTGGCTTACGACCTTTAAAACCCCAGACAAGTAAGATGTAGTCATTTTTACAATGTCATTTACTACTCTTCCTTACCAAAAATGATACCTTTTTGAATGGTGAAAGAGGGGATATCGTTGTACTGTATTGTCGTTCATCTAGGAGATTGAGTTTTTCAGTTACTCTACATGTAGATTTTAGTATTAGTCAATCAGTATCAATACAGGGTTTGAAATTACTGCGTAATAGTCCAAAATGCCAAACTTTTTGTCAAAGCAGAAGGCACCAAAGTGAAAAATAGGGAAGAGGAAGAAAGCAGTCAAAAGCCAACAAGATGGGAAGAAGGCACAAAACAATGACAAGTTTCGGCATGACGATTAAGATTATGTCTGTATGCATCTACGTCGCTGAGGTCAACCATAAATCATGCCACCCAGAGTCGCCAAACACCGTATTCAGCAATCACATCGACCTCAACCGAGAAGTCTGCATTATCATAAATGGCCCAAACCAACAGTTAGAGACTTTTTGGATGAATACCATGTTTTTATCTGGCCGCTAACACTGTGCGACGAAGCAGATGCCGACCAGACATGTCCCAGTTACTTTAGTCGATGAAGGTTCACAACTTCAACTCTCCTCCCTAAAAGCCTACACTTGATTTCTGCATAACTGATCCAGTGACACCGCGACACACAGTATATGCAACTGATATGGTCAAACACCTCCTTATATCCTCCACCTTTGATGGCCATGTTTCGAAGCCATATAGTAGAATAAAGCCAGTACACTTGGCCCTTAGTAGACAATGGGATATCGCAGCAGCACTACATAGGGCGTAATTAGGCAAAGGCCGTCCAGTCGAGCCTTTTGCATCTATGCAGAGATTTCTTCAGTCACTGATTTACGAGGACTGAATCCACTTAAGAAGCATGTGAAGCAGTCAGAGAGCTGAATCATCTCACGCCCTATTGTTAGACCGGGCATCAACGCAGACCAGTCCTGGAGAAAAAATTTCCATTTGAAACATTTTCAAATTGTCACTCCAGGTGTCCGGAAAAAGAAACTAAATAAGAATGGAAGAAGTGGACATACTTTAAGGATACCACTCAATACACACAAACATCTGACAACTCACCATGGGTTCTAACACACTCACGAGTTTTCAAATACAGAGCCTTTAACAGTGTGATGTACTTGCCCGGCCTCACTTTCAGTGGGAGGAATTGTCATAAGACCTCATGGTTAGCGAATTGGAATGCCGCCTTTATTTCAGGAGATGCAGCTGCTATTAAGTACAAGTGCATCCGGGTTCCATTACGTGGCAGAAGCGCAATATTTGGTAGGTGAACCCATGATCATCAATGTAGGAGGAAAACTTGGGCACTAGGGTGTAATTCCATACTGGTTTGTTTATTTGACATAGCACACGGTGACACAGTATAATTTACTGGATGACGTTTCGAGCAAAATTTATTTCTCGTATTCATGTCAAAACAATCATACAACTTTCGAACTTCCTTCACATAGTCCAACGATTCTTCTACCTTTTATCTTAAAGGTAGTAAACTTTTCCAGATATATGCAATATGTGACGAATCATTCCTGTTACATGTATTGGGTGTTGATTCAATAAACCAAGATTCTGTGATCAATTTCTCCTTCCATCTAGCTATACTGGATTTTAGAATTGTCACCCTATCCCACTCACTCTATAGTGTGATTATGGGTCAGTGAATACAGAGTGATACTATGGTAGACCCTACTAAGATACGTAATTTAGAGAAAAATTCGGCTATCACAGAATCTTTGTTTATTGAATCAACGCCTAATGCATGTAAAAGGAATGATTCGTCACATATTGCATATATCTGGAAAATTTTACTACCTTTAAGATGAAAGGTAGAAGAATCGTCGAACTATATGAAGGAAGTTCGAAAGTCGTATGATTGCTCTGGTATGAATACGAGAGACAAATTTTGTTCGAAATGTCATCCAGTAAATTATACTGTGTCACCATGTGCTATTCATCAAATAAACAATCTAATATGGAACCCATGATCATGTTAGGAACCTGCTTGCTTTTTTAGGCTTCGGTGTTTTCAAGGCTTATATATGCGTCTAATGATTATATACCGTAGGAACCTTTCGTCAAACTGATTTCCGTTTGGTCGTCACAGGTGGGTTACTTTCGTTTCTTGAAGACGAGACCAGTCAAGTGGGATCATAACCGATTTCTTTACGCTAGCTAACACTGGTGACCATCGCAAAACAGGCTCACACTCACTCTATCTATTTCAGCTTGAGCAACCAAGTGTTACTCAACGCAGTAATAGATACTCGCAAGAAGTTGCTAGCTTTTAGTTTTCCCTCTTAACAACAGTTTGGAAGTATCACAAGTGAAGGCATACTGTTACGATGTACTCTAGTTCGAGTACAACCAGTATCATTCATTGTTAAGAGCGTTATGAAACTGTTCAGGAGGTTCACACTATTGTTACAACAATTTATGGGTAGTATTCTGCAGGCGCTTTACAACTACTGTGTGTGAAAATTCTCAAACTTTATTACAGTAGAGTCTAATCACAAATAAATGAGTAAAGCTTTCCGAGGGACTATACATTTCTTTTCGAATTTTGAGAGTGTAGTGTTCTGACAGTTAAAACATAAAAAAATTGATGATAACAGCTGAAAAGATAATGTTTTACTTTATTGTTGTGATAGTTATCATAAAACGTACCGTTCCCAGCATTAATGACTTATGGTGGTGATACAGTAGTTATCCGTAAAACAAAAGATTCAGAAATGCTGCCACTTATATGGGTAACAGATACTATATACCAAGTATTACAGTGTAGAATGGGAAGACTAATACACTGATTGATTTTCAGACAGAAATCGACTAGATAATAAGCAGAGTTTATAGTTTTTATTTTGAAAAAATAATTGGGTGTTAAAAAGGAAACACAAACGGAAGGCTTACGAGCATTTAAATCAGCACCAGCTTCAAGAAGTAACTGAGCACAAGATAATTGATTCCAGAAAGCAGCACTATGCAACGGTGTCCATCCATCTTCTGTCCTATTATTTACATTTGCACCATGTTTTATCAGACACTAGGTCAGAGAAACATAATTAATAATTATCTTCATTAGGCATTATTTAAGGTGAATGAAGCTGTAAGACATTTTCTCATAGAAGGATAAATATATCTTCCCAAAAGCTTTGAATAGCAAGCATCCGAAGATTTCTTAAACGTCCAGATGATTACTTAAATTATTTCATTCGTGTCTCACTTACATTTAGTTGAAAATTTATAGTAATGAAAACGAAGTCGTGATAAGTGCTGCAGTACATTTAACACATATCAATGCTAACGTCATCTCCAGTTAAATATATCGCACCTACTCACCTTAAGTGATTGGAACTGCAATTTCAAAAGTTACTCCATTAACCTTAACCTGGCTATAGACACAGCAACTGACAACTTTCGTTCACGTAACCACAAGCAAACAGGTCGTCAGAGTGAAAATATAATGTTAGTAATAGAGGTGGTTTGCAGGCAACTATATTTGTTAGGATTAGACACCATAAAGAATAAACATACCTACTGTGTTAATAATTCTATGCATAGTGTCAACATTACCATTGCAGGAGTTCTGCCGCATACTAGTTATGATTCAAGGTGTCGATGATAAGAAATTTGAAACGTACTTGTTAGTATAACAGCCTACATTGATGCTGTTCACCTGATAGTCACAGTTAACGTATCTGTCTCGAAATCCCTTCAAACATAAACCTACCACAACTGATATAATTATTTAAGCATGTGAAATCAGCCATTTGAAACCTCTATTTTGAATGGGAAACACTAGTAAAAATCTCCGTCGATGACCCCAAATGCTATTCCCTAGAATACAGCTACGAAGTGTCTTGTGGGATTCCGTAGATAATGAAGGTGTAACTCATATGCCCTCAGCTAACTTCATAATCTGTTTAACGTCCAAGATTGGCTGTCTAAAAATCACCAATTAACTGAATCAACGTAAAACCTCACAAACAACCCCTCATTCTAACACACTACCTGCTACCTCCGTCACTTTAACTAGTAATCCCCTACCTCCATCCTTGGAAATCTCGGGTGATAAACTTTCAACTCCTACTGCTTTACATCTCAGGTTAGATACAGCGTTCTCAACCCCAGCGAGAGTTGGAGGACCTTCACCTACTTCCCATTCAGATCTAGGCTGGCTGCATGTTGGGCAACTGAAGCGTCGCCGAGGCTCAGTCGAACAGTACTTCAAAGTGTTCTGCCCAACGTACGTCCTAGCCACCTGTCCTGGGAGGTTATCAGGGTGCCATCGTTTCCGAGGACCAGTTCACTTCTTCTTCCTAGCACATAGACGGTTGCTGACTGGTATCCAGTCGAGAAGAGCACTTTCTGCCTTACAACTCAATGCTATGGTAACACCAGTGGAGTCCACGAGACCCAGCCATTGGGTCTCCGGATACTCGTGAAGCGAATTGGGATGTTTCACCACACTGGTCAGGTGAGACCAATCTCATAACCACACCGAAACCTGTATATGTGTCTCAGGGACATAGTATGCATGCATAGCTCGAGACTGCAGAGTTCTGGAGACCTATGCCTGCTGCTCAATTTGCTACAGGATTGGGACGCTGAAAGACCCCGCATGAAATCGATAGTGGGGTCTTAGGAGACTAGGAATGAGGTGTCGGTGGTGTTGGTCGTTTGCAGTGGTCTTGTAATAAGAGGTTGGGGAAGGTGTGAGGGGTTTAATACTGGTATCAGAAAGTGAAGGCAAGGGAGAAGACAGTGTTGAGGGGGATAGGTTATGTTTGATTGGGTCTTGTGTACTACTGGAAGCGTGCGAGCGGTTGACACTTGCCGGCTGCCTAGACCTTGGGAAGTTATTTCTTCTTGAGGTAGTTGTAAAAGAAGAGATAGTGTGTGACCACAGAGCCCATGGGGCATCTGCTTGAGTCCCGTCACACAGCTTTTGAGCAAGTTTGAGATTTTGGTTTTTCTTCCGAATCCGACTACGTATCCCTGTCGCAGACATCGACATGCCGCGGGATGATGTGAGTTTGCTATTTTCTTCCTGGCCGGCTTTTTCTAATCCTTCTTCCCGTTGGGAAGGCAGCATCTGTGTGAGACTGCTGGTCATCTAAGGGAAACACCTCATTGGTGTCACACCTCACCCAGTTAGCAGCAGTACGACTTGCCCCGGAGGCCCGCTTTCATAGCGTAGCAATCTACGCCATAATCATAACTTCTTTTTACCTAACCACTATCCAACAGAACTTTCTGGTATGGTATGATCTCGAGGAGACAAGTGTTGCGCCACCATAGCTGGCTGTAACATATAAGCTCAACCACCACGTCAAGGTAGCAGCTATTGGCTGGCACTTCAAATAACAGTTAGTCTTTAAATGATTACTGATTTTACGATCACAAGATATCTGGAGAGAGGATACTGAAAGAGTAGTTACACATTTTTATCCAAAAAACAAAAGTTTCCAATAACCTAGGATATATATTTCGTTTACAGAAAAAGACTGAATTTCGGTCGGATACAAGGTGAAGGTCTCAACACAGTTGAGTTGATGGGTTCTGGAGGTCAAAGTGGTGGGACTGTGGGAGGGACAGTTTTAATAACGATGAAAACCAGTCCAGAACAAGAAATTAGGTTACTTCGTACTTATTAACTGGTACTTTAACAATGGACTTGTCTATTAGTGTAAGTAATGCACTTACACGTAATACATCAGTATGTCCTCCATATACTGCACGATGCAGTGCTGTATAACCATCTTGATCTTTGGCTGATAATAGTTCTCTCAACTTGATCTCTCCTTTTGAACCGTTCTTTCTAGCTGCATCAATAAGGCTGAGAGTGGTAGGAAGGTCATTGTTTTCTGCTGCAACAATAAACTGCTTGTTCAGATCACCTAAAACAATTTATTTATAGGAAAGTGTACATACGAAAATTAGTTTCATATACTAATCATGCTTAAAATTCACGCAATATATAGAATTTCTGTTAACGTACTGATTAAGATAGTAGAACAAACTATGCTATTGTACGTTCTTATTAAAACTCGGGGTTAAGATTGTAGATAACAAAAAGGCTTCGTCTGAGTCTTGTGGGGAGGTGTAGAGTACCTGGCTGGGGTCCCTGAGGTGATAGGAATCAGCGGTTGAGGACTGTTCGTAAAATGGCTGAAAATCAGTCACCATGAATGGCACAGATGTTATTCACTCTTTAGTTTCTTTTAAAGCTTTAATGTTTTGATTAACCTTAATTTCTAAATTTCTTCTCCCTCCATACATCTTTGTTTACTTTGACAATCAATGTTTTTCTATCCACTTGTTCTTTGTACACTGCTGTGAAGTGAGGCAATTTGAACCGATACACTAGTGTATGACGATTTACGTTGATTTTGTGAGTCAATCAGTGAAAACAGTCTGAGGAGTAAGCAAACCAGTTAAGTTTCCAGTACTTACCACTAAAAGAAAAGGATTCCATAATGTATATGAGTGTACCAAGCAATCATTTATTCTACGCCATAACTTGCAAAATACTCGAAGACTTCTGCTTTATTCATCAAGTATTTGCCTTTAAACACATCAACCAACTATAAGTAACACGTGGATTACAGAACCACTAGACCCATAAAGGTTTGTTATGAAACCGTAAGTGATAGCGAAATAACTAAACCTTTTTGAATAAGAAATAAAGATGAATACCTCAGTTGACCAAACAGTTTAACTGATTCAATGAACTAAAATTTCGAATCCAATTCTCACAAATGATTAATGACAAGAACATGCATAAATTTGACATTCAGAAAAAGCTGTGAACATTACCCAGTTGAAAACCGATACGGTTAAGACATTACCTCTGATGAACTTCTAATATCATCCAACACCATAATACAGTACACCAGTTTCGTATTACCTAGATAAGTGATCTTATGTCAAACTTGATCGAGACAGTTTAATGAGTACCGAGTAATTACAACATGATAGCAACATCGGTTACTACATAGTGACCGATTCATATATGAATCATTTTTAAAAGTTGAGAAATGAGTTTAGTTCATACCAACTGGCGAAGTATCGAGAAGTAAATAACAAGGTTTTGGTATCCAATTACTATAAAACTGTATAGAAATTCAATAAGCTTAAAACAGTGTAAAAAGTAAAAGCTTTACTGGAATCTAGAATTCAAAATAAAAGTTTGTACTTTTTATTTGCTCTTCAGTCCACTGGTCAATATCATTTTCATCTGCCTCCCATGCACTGACAAACATTCCTGGATTGTTACGCTTCGCTGCCATAACCTAAAACAGAGTTGTAACATTTCGCATTTATTGTCAACTTCCTGATAAACAATGACGTTTTAGACAAGTTTTCTACAATACAATGCAAGTGACAGACAACCGTATTCGCTGGAAGCTTTCGAAGTGTTCACAAAAACGTATTAATGTATGGTTAATAGAAAAGCACACTTTACTTAGTAATTCAGGAAAGCTATAAAAAAAACTATTTGTGACAGATAGTAGGTATAGATATCGACCGTATTTCTGAGACGACAAATGAAGCAACTAGTTCGTTCTAAAACCATGCATTGGTGATATAATATAACAAGGCACAATATAACAAGACACTCAACTTTCAACCGGTGAGTCATGGGTTCGACCCGCCCTATCAAGGGTTTAGGAAATCAGTTAATATCATTAGCCACTAGACAATAGACATGACTCATTGCATACTGCACAAAGGTCCATGTGGTTACTGAGTGCATTTCGATCTTTCGACCATAGAACTGAACTGTATGCTCATCTAGATGCTGACAACAAAGGAATAAGTAGTGTCGTTTTCACATGCCGAATATCTCATACTAATGATGAGCTCTAAAAAGGTCGATGAATTAAAATACGATGTCCTCAATGTCTAGTGATACTTTGCATAAGTGAACAGTGATAATTACATTTGTTGTGTGTATGCTAGGTCCATTCGTGAGGCTTGGAGTTTTAACTTCTTTTAAAGCAATACGTAACTTCTATCCCAGTCAAGAATAGATAGTGATGATCTTATACTTAGGATGAAAAAATATGAGGTAACAGACGACAGCCGTCCATAAACAATAAGTTACGAAAATACATACAGCATAAATTTACTAGGAATACACTAAAGTGTACACCCATTCCAAAGGATAGTGTTATTGTAAAAAATAATAAATCGGTGGTAATATTATTTGCACTCCGAAAATACATAGTTTCAAATGCACCCATATATATATATATATATATATATATATATATATATATATATATATATATATATATATATATATATATGAAAATTAAGGGGTTGTATGCTTAGCGAATAGGACAACTTCCCAATAATCCTAAGAAATTGCGTTTTTAATGATTTCGTTCAGGTTATCGAGTCGTTCAGTAGGTCTAAATGATTAACTTTTAAGTAGTGGGTTATGAGATTCACTCTGCTGACTGGGATCTGGACTTCCAGAGAGCACCATCGGCTGCGAAGAGGTATATCTTAAAGCCTGATAAAGAAGGGTGTGCGCTATTACTGAGTCGAACTACTATTACTTACAAATTGGTTACATTGAATTGCCTCTTTTGCTTACGTTAGCAAATGGATATTTAGTTACAGTATCACCTTTGTTAAATGAATTTTGCAGTTGGGGAAGACCACGAAAGACCATGATAATGCCTAGAAAAGTCTACGCTGGTGCTGTCATGCTTTCGAACGCTAATAGTTATATATATATATATATATATATATATATATATATATATATATATATATATATATATATATATATATATATATATCCCGGAACGAATATAATACGCGAGCTTAGTACGCAAGAGCCACCGACTGCAACCCCTGGACGAACAGAGAGACAATCGAAGCTGGCAGATGGGAGAGTGTATTACTCAGAGAATATAATAATAAATCAATCCAAAACACGTGAATAAGTATACACATGAAAAATGACCTTGTCCTCAATTTGAGGCATTAGCATAGTAAGAATAAAGATTAACCATTGGGGGCAGAAAGTAGACTAATAGTTATACAATAAAAAAAGGTGTGGGAATGACACCTTAAAGTGTTCAGATCAACAACAATGTTTTATACAAAACTGGGGCATCACAACAGGTGTCTTGTGCTTATGTGAAAGGAGTAATTGTATCGAAAAGAGAACTATTCTGTGACCTTACTCAAATCACTAACCTGTGGGTTTTTGGCTTAATACATGTTCGAGAAGTCAAAACAACTAGTTACGATGAGCATAATAAAACAGGATGGAGGCTACGCAAACAGTAATCGTACAACTTTCAAAATGAAGTGGGATCGTGACCAAAACTTGCTACCATGAAGTGGTGGTTGAGCTTATATGTTACAGCCAGCTATGGTGGCGCAACACTTGTCTCCTCGAGATCATACCATACCAGAAAGTTCTGTTGGATAGTGGTTAGGTAAAAAGAAGTTATGATTATGGCGTAGATTGCTACGCTATGAAAGCGGGCCTCCGGGGCAAGTCGTACTGCTGCTAACTGGGTGAGGTGTGACACCAATGAGGTGTTTCCCTTAGATGACCAGCAGTCTCACACAGATGCTGCCTTCCCAACGGGAAGAAGGGATTAGAAAAAGCCGGCCAGGAAGAAAATAGCAAACTCACATCATCCCGCGGCATGTCGATGTCTGCGACAGGGATACGTAGTCGGATTCGGAAGAAAAACCAAAATCTCAAACTTGCTCAAAAGCTGTGTGACGGGACTCAAGCAGATGCCCCATGGGCTCTGTGGTCACACACTATCTCTTCTTTTACAACTACCTCAAGAAGAAATAACTTCCCAAGGTCTAGGCAGCCGGCAAGTGTCAACCGCTCGCACGCTTCCAGTAGTACACAAGACCCAATCAAACATAACCTATCCCCCTCAACACTGTCTTCTCCCTTGCCTTCACTTTCTGATACCAGTATTAAACCCCTCACACCTTCCCCAACCTCTTATTACAAGACCACTGCAAACGACCAACACCACCGACACCTCATTCCTAGTCTCCTAAGACCCCACTATCGATTTCATGCGGGGTCTTTCAGCGTCCCAATCCTGTAGCAAATTGAGCAGCAGGCATAGGTCTCCAGAACTCTGCAGTCTCGAGCTATGCATGCATACTATGTCCCTGAGACACATATACAGGTTTCGGTGTGGTTATGAGATTGGTCTCACCTGACCAGTGTGGTGAAACATCCCAATTCGCTTCACGAGTATCCGGAGACCCAATGGCTGGGTCTCGTGGACTCCACTGGTGTTACCATAGCATTGAGTTGTAAGGCAGAAAGTGCTCTTCTCGACTGGATACCAGTCAGCAACCGTCTATGTGCTAGGAAGAAGAAGTGAACTGGTCCTCGGAAACGATGGCACCCTGATAACCTCCCAGGACAGGTGGCTAGGACGTACGTTGGGCAGAACACTTTGAAGTACTGTTCGACTGAGCCTCGGCGACGCTTCAGTTGCCCAACATGCAGCCAGCCTAGACCTGAATGGGAAGTAGGTGAAGGTCCTCCAACTCTCGCTGGGGTTGAGAACGCTGTATCTAACCTGAGATGTAAAGCAGCAGGAGTTGAAAGTTTATCACCCGAGATTTCCAAGGATGGAGGTAGGGGATTACTAGTTAAAGTGACGGAGGTAGCAGGTAGTGTGTGAGAATCAGAGGTAGTGTCATCAGAGTTATGTACTCCTATGACCATCCGAGTCTACAAGGAGGAAGATAAGTTTTCCTGGAGCTCGAGGAAACTAGGCAAACTTGAAATCTGGACAAGGTGAATCTATCAGATTTTCACTCTCCGACAGATTGTGGAACACAGACATACATACTGGCGGTAGACACTTGTGATACTTCTCGACCTGAAAGTGGTATTTTGACTCTGTCGACCGTGAGACGTTGTGGCAGTGTCTAACTGAAGGGAGTACCGAGCGACTATATAATGCTAATTTATCTCTCTACTCGAACTCACAAGACCGTGTCAGGGCTTATGGAGAGTTATCGTCAGAATCGATGACAACTAGGGGTGTTCGCCAGAGACGCTCAATGCCATTTTTTCTACCTAACTTCGTTATGGGCGTACTAATGGACAACCTTGAGTACGTCTGACTTCATAATGATTGACTTACTCCCTGCAGGTCATCTGGTTGACTTGGAGTATGCTGGCGATATTGTCTTGCTAGACAGAGACGCTGACAAAAAGCGGGGTCTTCTGAACGCATTGAGCAGAAATCTGAGCATGTTTGGCAAGCATCTCGCACCTGTCAAATGTAAGATGATGCTCCATGACTGATCTGCTACACTACTCCAAGTTTAACGAAAGGAAGTGGTGGTGGAATATGCCGTCTACTTCACTTGGGGAGTTGCATCAGCTCGAAAGACTGGTTGCTAACGAAATCTGGGATACAGGTCAGTTTGTCATTTGTTAACTTGAATCATCTATGGCGTCAACTAACGGACACCCGACTATCTATCAAAGAACGAGTATACTGCTCTGCAGTTTGTCATGCCTTTGTTATACGGTTGTTAGAAGTAGACGACATGAAGCAATTATAGGGTTTTGACCACGGATATCTTTGTAGCGTAGCTCGTAGCTGGTGGAATCACCATATGAGCAGTGTTGAAACCAGGCGAAAGCTGTTAGGCAAGACAGGCAAGCCGATTGGCGATGTTGTGAATCTTCATCGACTGAGGTGGATGGACATGTTTTGCGCATGCCAAGCCACTGCCTACCTCAACTTGCCATGCTGGGGGAAGGTGGATTAGTTTGGAAGAGGGTTCAGGGTGGCCAAACCATCAGAGCATAAAGTCTCCGACTTTTGGTCTGAGTCATGTGATGCGATTTAGAGTGCTTGGTCGGAGTACCTGAAACGAAAGGAATCTGTGGTTGAGGACTGAAAGTGGCATGGCTGAAAATCGGTCAAAATGGGGCAGATGTATCCACTCCTCGGCATCCTGTTAAGCTTGAATATTTGCATTAACGGCTATCTTTAGATTGTTTATTCTCTTACACAATGTCTACTTGGATATCACTTTTTCTCTCCACTGACTTTCCTTATACCACTGTGAAGTGTGGCAGCCTGAGCCACTACACTTGAGTGCGAGGTTCTATGTTGATTCTCTTGGTCTATCTATTAATGAATACTAGGATGCTCAAGATTCCAGGTTTTAGATAGATCATAAATCAGAGAGGAGGGCAGGAGCAGGAAGCTAGAGGAAACCAAGCAAGCCTTCATACCTCACAGTGGGTGTCAACCAGATATTCACACTCCGCCACCTGGAATACAAGCACACTTATCGAAGCCACACGCTAGTGACATTTCTTGACCTGAAGGCGGCATTCGGCTCCCCTGATTGAGAGCTCTCATGGAAATGTCTCTCACTAGGAAGGATACCGAGTAAGTACATCACTCTGTTGAAGGCTCTTTACTCCAACACGAGTGGGTATGTTAGAGCCTGTGATGAGTAGTTAGATGAGTTGTACACGTCGATTGGTGTCCGTCAAAGATGTCCACTCTCCATTCCTATTCAATTACAGTATGGAAGCACTTATACAGGTTGCTCTCTTGTCGTCTGACTACACAGGGATTAATCTAATCGCACGAGGATCTTTGGAAGATCTAGAGTACACAAATGACATAGTCCTGTTAGGTAGAGACGCCGAAATGATGCAGCCTTCTCGATATCTTGACTGGCAATTTGAAAACGTGTGGGTTGCGTTTTTCGCCACCAAAATGCAAATAGTTGCTATGGGCCAGGTCTTCAGTAGAACGCCGGTTAATAATAGGGATTGAAGTGGTTGAGTACTTTGGAGACTTAAACAACCTGAGAAGTCGGATCAGCCCTGGTGGGTCAGAGGCAGATGAAATCTCTGCGCAGATACAAAGGGCTCGATTGCCCGACCTTTGACAACTTACGCAATCTGTGGCACCGTCATGATATCCATCTGCCGATTAAGGGCCCAGTGTACTGCGCTGCCCCGACCGATAGTTGCTACCTTGACGTGGTGGTCGGGCTTGCATATCACAATGACCCAACGAGCTATGCTGATGGGACACTTGTTCCCTTGGAGGTCGTATCATACCAGAAAGTTCTGTTGGATAATGGTTAGACGAAAAGCAGTTACCGTTATAGTGTAAATTACTACACTATAATGGGGGTCTAAGGGCGAAGTCGTACTGCTGCTAGCTGGATAGGGTGTGACAGCAGTAAGGTGTTCCCCTTGGATGACCAATAGTGCCATTCTGATGCTGCCTTCTCAGCAGAAGAGGGTTCAAAAGTTCGGCCCCAAAATTAACACACCACCATGCCCCATGGTCTGCCGGGCCGGCGGTGTTGGTTTATTTGTCGTTTCTTTTTCGACCATCCCGCCCCAAAAATACAAAATCTCAAAAAAACCATACACAAAAGGCTGCGTGTGACAGGTCTCAAGCAGATGTCCGATGAGCTCTACGGCCACATAAATCTCTTTCACGTACCTTAAGAAGTAATAGCCTTCCACGGTCTGGGTAACCGGGAAGTGCCAACCATATTCACAACTCTATCAGTACTCAAGTTCATTCAGATTGCTATCCACCTCCCCCATCACTACCTTCTGATCTTCCCTCACGTCTCTCAATTAACGATACTACATCTTCAATTTCTCCTAGGTCTGCAGCCTTCGATAACGATCTGAATCTACAGAATAGCATCCCTGGTCTCCTTAAACTACGCTTCAAATTACACATCGGGGCCTTCAATGTTCGCACCCTCCGTCAAATTGGTCAACAAGCTTCATTGGCAAAGACTCCAGCAACTCGGGCCATGGATGTGTGTTGTTTGTGAGACTCGGATACAAGACCCAAGTGAGGTTATTCACCTGACCTCTCTTGACCAATCTGGTGAATCCGCAAAATTTACCCTTCGAGTTTCTGGAGATTCGATGGCTAGCTCTCGTGATCTTGCAGGTGTATGCACAGCATTAAGCACTAGGGCAGAAAGCTCACTACTAGACTGGATCCAAGTTGATAGTAACCTCTGCGCTGTGCGGCTGAACGGCACAGTGAGAACTAAAAGGAATGGTGAAACTCGCCGCTGTCTCTTTGTAATCTCTGCTTACGCACCCACTGAATGCAGTTTGGATGAAGTGAAGGACGAATTCTACCGTAAACTGTCTAGCCTCCTTAAAAAGCCAAACGCTTAGACGTGGTGGTTGTTGCAGATGACTTCAATGCACAGGTGGGTAGACTGAGGCAAAAAGGCACTAACGGAATCCCGGCTGAACAAACAGATAACGGTGATCGCCTACTACAACTGTGCACAGATAACCGCTTGTTTTTGCTAGCACAAGTTTCAGACATAAAGAAAGATACTGTTTGACGTGGCATCCACCGAGATCAACTCAGCGATGGACCACATTTCTATTAGTCATCGCTTGAGAGGATCAGTGGAAGATTGCTGCTCTTTCTGGAGTACATGCTTGGATAGCGATCACGCGTTGCTCCGATCGCGTATATGTCTGCGTCTCAATGGACGTAGGATATATTTGCCAACAAAACCATTGCGACTACAGTTCTACAACGAAAACACCAAAGCCGTGTTCAGTGAGAAGTTGGCTAGACAGTCATCGTAACAGAAGACTAGCATTTATCCAGAAGCTTAGTGCAATCTCCAGTTTGCCGTAAAAGTAGAGCTAAAGAAAGAGTGACTAAAAAGAGCCAGTGGATATCACCAGTTTCTTCCAAACTAATGGATGCACGTGAACGCATCCCTACAGGCCCCGAGTACAATGAAGAGCGAGCGCAACTTAAAAGTAGATTGAGAAAAAGTTTACTCAACGATCGCGAACAGTGGTGGGCAGCGAAGGCTAAAGAGATGGAAAAGGCAGCGGCGATCGATAGTAGTAGACAGTTACTTAGACTTATTAAGGAGATTGGGAGGTGGAAATGTCAACAACAGTTAGTGAGGCTATAACGGAGAAGGACGGATCTGGGATTCACTCGCAGAGGAGACGACTGGAACGATGGGCAGAACACTTCGAGGGGCAGTTTAACTGGCCTCCAGCCACCATTGCGTTGCCCGCTATCGGACATAGAGATAAGTCCCCCAACACTAGAAGTTGAGAAAGCGGTAGGTAACCTGAAACGAGGAAGGACGGCCGGACCAGACTCCTGAGGTATACAAGGATGGTGGTAATGTGCTCTTAGTTAGGTTAACGGAAGTGTTCACTAGTATATGGAGATCAAATACGATCCCCTCTGACTGGTCTAAATCACTGATTATCCCAGTCTTGAAGAAAAGCGAGAAGTCCTCTTGTGATAACCACAGAGAAATCAGCCTGACGAGCATAGTGTCTAAGATTCTAGGTTTCATAATTGTTCGACGCCTGAGTGAAGCTCGGGGACACCAAGCCCGAGAAAACCAGACAGGCAGCATTTAGACCCGGCCATGGGTGTATCGACCAAATATTCACACTGCTCCAGGTTCTGAAACATAGGCACGCTTACCGACGCCCGCCCGACACTAGCTGTATTTCTCGACGTGAAGATGCCATTCGACTCCGTTGATCGAGAAGTCTTATGGCAATGTCTTTCACTGAAAGGCGTGCCGAGTAAGTACATCACCCTATTGAAGGTTCTCTACTCGAACACTTTTGGTGAGGTGTCCAGGGAGCTGTACTCGTCGAGTGGTGTCCGTCGAGCCTGTACACCGTCTCCATTTATAATCAATAAGTAGACGACATAGTGCTGTTAGGTGACGACGCTGACAAGATGCAGAGTGTTGTGGACACTTAGTGGGAATTTGAGAATGTTTGGGATGTATTTTTCACCACCCAGATGCGAATCGTTGCTCCGTGATTGGTCTTCAACGGTGCCTCGGCTGACAATAAAGAGTGAAGTAGTTGAGTGTGTAGACCACTTCACTTACTAGGGAAGTAGAATCAGCTTTGCTCTAGTGGCTGGTAAAATCTCTGCACGCATACAAAAGACTCTACTGATTTTTGTAAGCTTACGCCACCTGTGGCGCTACCGTGATATCCGATTGTCTATTAGGGTCGCGTATACTGCACAGCAGTTCGCTCTGTTCTACTCTCTCGCTGTGAAACATGGCCATCGAAGGTGGAAGACATGAGAAGGCTGGCTGGCTTCAGGTGTTTCACCACAGTTGCCTTAGTAATATAGGCCGTATTCCGTGGTGTCACCGTGTGAGTAACGCAGAAGTCATGCTCAGGTGTAGTTTTAGGGAGAAGAGGTAAATCAGCTGACATGGTTGTGAACCTTAATCACATTTTATGCATGCCTAGTTGTCGTCTGCCTCATCACACAATGTTGGTCGACGTGGGTTCAGGCTCGATGCGCCAAAACTAAAGCACGGCATCAGTGCATGAAGTCATTGACTATTTGTCTGAGCCATGTAGGGAAATGTAAATCAACAGGTTGAGGTCTGAGTGGCAAGAGAAACTAGTGGCAGGAATATATTTGTGCAACATTCCCAACAATCTAATCGGATACATACTTGGCACAGCCATTTATATAAAAGGTTATACAAAGATAAGGGGTGAGAATATGGGAATAGGCCAGGCAGAAGGGTTAAACTAACGGCCAAATAAAAAATTTAGGGATCCGTCCCTAACAGGTTTGGCATACAGGTCTAAAAAGAATGTAGAAATGTCAGTCATGTGCCCTGTCTCGACCGTTGCATCATTACAACACAACGCAAAATCAATGGTAATCATCAAATAGCATCCAGAACCCCACAACAGCACAACTTTCTGGAATTGAGCACACATCTTAGTGAACAAGGATATCTTTAATCGACCTATGTAGTGGGAAACCCTAATTTTAACAGTCCAACATAACTATAAAGCGGTTGCCAAAAAGACCCCTAAACCTTGAGATACAAAAATCTACCTAGTTCAAGTGAAATAAGAACGCAGTCCCAAAGAAACAGATGTTCTCTAAAATGCTCAAGTCAACTTTAACCGCGGAGGAATATAACAACTTAGCGTCAAAGAAATTGTGTAAATAATTCAAAAAATTACTTAGGGACTTATATGGTATTTGTAGATAGGTCTTTACATCCGAGACAGATAAGAGATTATAAACGTACTTCATCGATATCAAATGGCAAGGCGTCAGGTGAACCATCTTCATTATCAGATTGCGAACACATCGACCATCAAGCACCTAAATAAAAAGGTCTACATGAGTACTATCTAAAATAGCAGAAAGCTGAAAAATGCTACTTGAGTTCAAAAGTTTATTTTGAATTCACATACTAAGAAATACATCCTATTATGGCCGTTATAACTAATCATACAAATCGTATTTATCACACATATATCGAACAATGTCTCGTGGTGTTAAGAACCGTTGTGCATCTATATCAGGGATTTCAAAGTCTAAAAAATATTAGGGCATCAGACAATCTTACTAAATTCCTCTTCCATCACCACAACCAGTTCCACATGATCTAAACTATCGAGTCCTAAATCCTCACGGAATCTGGAATGCATTGTGAGCTGGAAAAAAACTTTTCGTATATGTTTCAAAATACTTTATTATGGTCGATCTTGTCATAAAGTCTTAACACAAGCATCACTCTATCTTCGATCATTCGTTTCGATATCGGTGATTGATGGCAATAACGTCTGAGAGGAATACCTAGTACATGGGGTGTACGCCGGTAATGAAGATGTTTTTTTGGTGCAAAGAACTTTTCAGTTAATTTCGGATGATATGAAGTCAAACATGCTCGTGGGAATCTGCCAAACGCAGACAACAGTAATCTCGAGCTCATATCCCGCCAAAAGCCGTCCTTGTGGAAACGTCTCACATCCAATATACAATACCTTTGCATTACCTAGTGTAAACCAATTAATTTCTTCGCACTCGCTTCTAGGTCTTGAGGAACAGTTCTATGTCCTTGGTGGATTCTGGTTAGGTGTGTCTACTCGCTCGTATTCTTCAGCTTCGGTTAGCCCGATGGGCGATTGGGTGTAGGCTAAATTTGTAGGGGGTGTGTGGCTTTTTTCCAGGAACTGTGGTGCAGATAGGTTGGTCAGGTGTCACCCCAGTAGATAATTAGTCGGGCTGGTTGTAAGAAGAAGACAAAAGTATGCACAGAGAAAGCAAGAGAGAGAAAGCGCAGGGAAAGAGAAATAGTGGATAAAAGCTACTAAGTAAAAGGAAACGGAAAGGAGGAAGAAACTTCGATAAAATCACGGCAGTGGGAACATAGGGACAGCTTTTATTAAAGTGTGAGGGGATAAAGTCACATCAATCGTGTGAGTTGAGAAAACTTGTGGTTTTCGAGACGAAGCTTCTAGGCCTTGAGGCTAGGTTCCCTTTGTTCGGTCGTTCCATTTCGGTGGTCACAGAAGCCGGGGTTTCTTCTGCCTGTAGCCTTGGAGGTAGTGACTGTCTACTTGAAGGTATTTATTCCTGAATATTGTAGCTTGGTTTGCAACGGGGGTAACGGGGCTACTGCCAAGATCAATTGACCTTCTGCAACTCCTGTAAGTAAACATTAAGCGTTACCTGGCGATGACAGCATACGAGTGGCGAATGTTTGAATCGGAATAAATCAGACTGATGGAAAAGTAGCGGGGAAACACTGGAGAAGGAGTGTCTCATAAAAATCGATAAACTTATACTGATTTACATCTACCAGGAACTTATGATGCCTCAAGAAATCCATACCGATGGTGCCGATGGCCAACTCATCAATAATGAAAACCAGAAGGAATGAACAGCATGGTGCAAGGTTATTGTCAACGACCTAACGGCCCAGGTTGTGATAGGCAAGCCAGCAGCTCGAATTAGTAGAAATATCATCCGAAATTGCTTCTCAGCTGTAGATGGGATTTTGTTGGTTTCTACCGCATCGTCTACCAGAAGGTGGATCCCAGGATGACGGGTAACATTAGTCACAATCACGTGCTGCCGGACAAGTTTTCTGAACGCTTCAGGGTGCACCATATCGTTCGTGGTAGCAACAAACTCCAAATTCGGGGTTCTATGGTCTCAACCTAAGGTGAGGATTTTTGTACTGCTTCTTGAACTTGAGTGGGAAACATGACCGGGTCAGAATGAATGTTCTCCAAACTCCTCGAGTCTTCCACGGCTTTTCATACAATGCTGAAATACTGGATCGAACTTTATGGAGCTACTAGGTAGCCATTCACCTGCTTTAGAGCCGATATCAGCAGAATTGTCAGCACGATATAGCTGATGATATTATTCGCTTACTTCCCAATAGTTTGTTTCATAGGCTATAGAGTTCTTGGAATACTAAATTTCCACAAATGCTGTTGTCCAGCTCTGATATTTGACTCCGAATTCATGTACGCCTCCTGATATACAAGTGTCTATTTACTACCCGTGACAGCAGATCCACCTGCGCCAGACAGTGTGAATATGAGGGGATAAAGCGAAGTTTAGAGCAGGATGTTCTGTTGACAAAGGAGCTGACAAACTTTTTTAGCAGTACAACTGTGTACCTCCCCCCCTGAGAGTACTTGCGTCCATCTTTATTGGTGCGGGGGGGGGCTATTGTGTTGAACGCCACCAGGTGTGGTCTAAATCATAAATTTTAAACACCATAAGGAATAATTCCGGCGTTAGATATCCGACCTGCCTCCTCAGAAGGTGCATGATGGCGTTCGCCTTTGCTGACGTCCCCTTATAACTATCAGCAGCATCCAGTGTGTCAGAAAAGTTTAGTTCTAGATCCTTCTCTGTGGATACCCTGGTGCTTGCACGCCTGCTGAGAGTGTAGTTGGTTTTAATCGCCCCTGGTGTACGAACATACATCATCTGGGATTTTTCCGGGTCCATTCGTCGCGGACCAGGACCCCAGCTGCATCAGATCATCTCGGAGTTTCCCAGGAGGCTTTTCCCAACCGATTGTCGGACATATTCCGATATGATCGGTAAATAGGGAGATGGGCGGGGAGATTTTAATGGGAAAGTCTTTTATGAGTAGTAAAAGTAGGAGTGGCCCAAGGGTAGCTTCTTGAGAGACTCTTATCCTTACACTCCTCCGGGCTGATCGAATTCTGTTTACTTCAGTACAGGATCCTCTGTCTTCTGGGTCTGCTGTAAACAACGCCCAGAGTGGTTCGGTGATGCCCGCTTTTGCAAGTTTAGCGGGCATGGTGCAGTGTGGGACGCAATCGAAAGCTCTGACCAAGTCCAGGAAGACAACGTGGACGGGTTGCTTGTTGTCACATCCATTAGTCAAGTCATGCCAAGTATTCATCAAGTTTCTGGCACATGACCATCCGGTTCTGAGGCCATGCTGTGTGGGATGGACAATATTGTTTCCGTCCAGGTAGTCCTAACCAATACCTGCAACCAGGCTTTCCAGTACCTTGAGTAGTATGAGAATCAATGGCATTAGTCTACAGTTGCACGGGTGTTTTGGTCTCCTCTATTGGGGACTGGTGAAAGGATGGCACGCTTCCATTACTCGGGGAGTTGACTTACTTCCAACGAGTACGTGAACAAGTTCCACGTGGGTATGCTTAACACCTCTGCACAGTTCCGTAGGACCACCGATCTTATGTCATCACAGCCCGGAGATTTCCCCTATTCTCACTGTCGAAAGTTTCGTCAACACTTGGTTCGAGGAAATCTTCACGTTCGTCACCTTTTTATTGCAGCCCCGGAACTCCATTACATCACTGAGTGTTGGCGCCGGACGCATTACCATGTTGAGCTGCTCGCCAGGTCGGCTGCTCAACGGTCCTGCTATTTCCCTGCTGTTCAAAGGTTCTCCTGCCGGTCTGTGATCAGTTTTAGACCCTTATTCGTCAGCTTTAGCTGTGACATAAACCGATATAGGCTCTCCGAATTGTGACTTAACTGTTTAGTCATATTACTCTGCCATATGTACTTGTCACTACGATCACTTGCATTGCGTAGGATGAGCAACGTCTTGTAGCTACGAAAGTCTGATTCTTTGTGTGATATGCGCCACCGACACCATGCCTTCTTTTTCCGCTGAACTATCCTTCGGGTCGCGCCAGTTACCCGAAACCACTTGAGAGATGGTTTTCCGGTTAATTTCGGAACGCTCTTTTCAATAGCGCTCCAAGTAATATCTTAAATATGTATCCAGCGTTCATCTGTCGATAGCGAGTGCCATTCTTGTGGCCATGTAGCCTTCAGGAGTTTATCGTCCGTAAGATGGAAATCCGATTTTTGGTAACAGTGGAACACTTCTGGTTCAGTCATGTGTAATTTCTCTTTGGAAAATCTCACCAAAGTGTGATCGCTTTCGTTTAGTAGGGGTTTGGACACATAGGGTCCACCAAAAGGTCGTCTTCTGTCTGAACCTAATCAATCGGTGATGCTTTTCCATCTGGTCCCCATCTGGTGTTTTCTTTAACACTCTCTATCATTCCTGCTTCATTACTGTGTTTCGAAGTCTATGTTCAAAACATTTAAGTCCACAGCTTACTTCATACCCCGGGCCAAGTGCTACTGTGCTGAGGCCCCAGCGCAGACTGTACGGTCACAGGGTGCCGATATTAGTGCCAAATGGAGGTGAGCAATTGTCTTATGCCCTGTTGCGCCTAGAGGAGGCCTGTGTACCACTCTCTGATGGATGCTTTGTCTGCTTTCCGGTGAAATAGTACCACAGGGAGTCTGGTAATCGGCTAAACACATTATCAGTCACCTCCTTGACTTTCCGGTGAATGCCAATGTACATGACCATTCCTTCGCCTCCCTTTGAACTGCCTGTCCTTTCAGGACAATGTTATTTTCCCTGGTCCATGATATACGATAACCTCGCCTGGTTAACTAGTTTACTAGTTACTAGCCGGTCCTAAGCCCGGGTAAAGAGGGAAGGTTGGGCATAGGGCTAGCAACCCTACCCCGTAAAACAAATCTAACCGCTAAAGAAACTTCAAAGCACAAACAAAATATAAAAAATGAAAACAAACTTATTCCCCGCTGGAATCGGAGAGGCGAAATGACGCCAGTTGGTGAAAGCCTTCGGGAAGCCAATTGGCCGATGTGTCTTCTCTCGATGAAAGCGAAAGTAAACGTGGGGACATGGAATGTCCGCACGATGTTTGAACCCAGTAAGGCAGCCCAGATTGCAAAGGAGATGAGAAGGTATAACATCGAAGTGCTTGGGATTTGCGAAAGCAGATGGAATGGGAGTGGACTCTCCAAACTGTCAACTGGAGAATCAATAATCTACTCCGTGTCACCCAGACGCCAACCACGAGCACACTGAGGGAGTGGCTATCATGATGTCCTCAAGAGCATCGAAGGCTCTCATGCAGTGGGAACCAATCTCCTCCAGGATCATGACAGCAAGATTCAACTCAAAAGGAAGAAAGGTCACAATCATACAATGTTATGCACCTACAAATAATGCAGAGCAAGAGAAAAAGGAGGAATTCTACAGACAACTTCAGTCAACACTGGACAAGACGTCAGTTGGCGATATCAAAATTCTAATGGGCGACATGAATGCCAAACTGGGAGGGGACAACACGGGAAGAGAACTAACCATGGGTCGAGAGGCGCTAGGTGAAATGAATGAGAATGGAGAATTGTTTGCAGAATTCTGTGCATTCAACGATTTGGTGATTGGAGGCAGTGTGTTCAGGCACAAGGATATCCACAAAGCGACATGGACTTCACCAGATGGACACACTAAAAACCAAATCGACTTTATCTCAATCTCAAGAAAATGGAGACGCAGTCTACTTAACACAAGGTCAAGAAGAGGAGCAGATGTAGGTTCAGACCACTATCTAGTGCAAGGAACCTTCCAAATCAAGTTAAAAGCCTTCAAGG